AAGCAGGAATAGGAGGGAAAAATGTAATTCTTCCATTTAAGTACTAGGAAACTGAGCATTTAATAAATCTCTACTGAATGTGGTTTGTCCTCACAAATTCCTCAATAATATGATCCGTTTGTTGGTTATATGAAACAACATGCATGTGCTACATGGAAGAACTAAACGAAGAAGTATGTAAAGAAAGAGGAGTGAGGAGGATTGAGATTGTGGTCTTAGTCTAATACAGAGAAATCGCCTCAGTTTTCCTATTGGATTTTGTAGCCACAAAGCAAATAGAGGAGGCTGGACCCACTTTTATAAATACTTCAAACTTCATGCTTCTTCTGTCTGTGTGCAACAAGGATGTGTCAATGGGAAATTCTAGGTTCCCCCATTTGCTAAGGCAGGGAATCAAAATTTATTTTTATTAAAAACATGATACAAAATCTTTTTTTAAAAATATAAAACTTTATATGGTTGTGTCAGATGCCTTAGTTTCCTCCTCTATAAAATGGGAAAAATAGATACAACTTGAAAGGGTTGGTGGGTAGATTGAGTTAGCACATGTAAAGCATTAAGAATTGTGCACATCATATAGTGTTATAAAATATTTTATTATTGTTGTTGTCATATCAATATACCCCAAAACCCAGGCAGCTTTGTACAGTGAGTAATACTTAGCCTTTCTGATTCTCAAGAAAATTCAAAAATAAAAACCTTTTGAGCAATAAAATCAAATCCATTCTAGAGAAGCCACTTTATCTGATTTTAATAATTTTAAAGAGATGGGCAGGCAGTCCCAACTATTTCAAGAATTAATCAATGACATATAACACATTTCAATTACTTAAACCAACCTATCAAAACTAAATGAAGGTTCTCCTATTTATCAGTGTGAGAAGATCATATATTTTAATTAATTCAGCCCTCTAAAGGCTCTTTTTCACACAGATAAAGTTCACGTAATATTTTGTGCCAAGAAGCAGTCCATCCTACCATAAAGAGAAAGCCAGATTGGATTGCCATGGGAAATAAAAGCTCCGAGGTAAGGAAGGAGCTCGTTCCTGGTGAAGAGAAAATTTGACGAGAAGTCAAATTTACATAACGTGTTTTGCCTAAAAAAGAAATGTGTTCTTTTTCATAAATTTACATTTGGTCCCCCAAGAAGCCTTTAGGTTTTCTCAAATTTCTATTTGGAGTCAAACCTATTTTGGCAATAATTTTCAATTGTTACAGCTCTAGCTAACACCGATAATCTGACTGAGAGGAAAAAAAGAATAATTAAAATTATAGGAGATTATTTTAATTCTGGAATTTTGACACTAAGAATTTTCAACACAAGATACAATTTGACTGAAGTAAAATTAGATTAGGTAGAAAATATCATGGCAAAATATAACTAACAATGTTAAAGATATATACAGCATAGTGAAGTGTTTTTTTTTTTTTCTTTTTTGAAGTGGGTTGAATAATGCTCAAAATGAGTTGAATCACATATTGTTAGCAACCCTGAAAACTGCAAAAACTTACCTTGGAAGACACTAAACTTTTAAAGAAATAATTTACAAAAAATAGAATTGACACTAGCTAAAACCAAAGTTTTTGGTTAACTTTTTATTAACCAAAAATTGGTAGAAGAATTATCTTCTTACAAAATTTGACATTGGAAAACTGGATTAGGGAGAAAAAAATAATCACAAAAATATGTAATAAAATAGCTATAAGTGTTGAAACTTGATACAGATAAAACATAATCAAATCTTTATTGTAAAACTATCACAGAAAATATTTTAATCCAGTTAAAATAAGTAAGTAGGGTAAAAATGGTTAAAACCATAAATAGTTTAACACTGCTATGCAAAAAGTTAAGAAAGCAAATTAAGTAATAGATTTTACTCTAAAAACAAAAATAAGAACTCTTTACTGACTTGAATTCATTGATGATGGTACAAACCTGATTAAATATTGGGATTAAATGTTGGTATTTAGAAACAGAGCCACAATATCCTCAGGTTTAAATTATTAAAATGTCAGAATCGAATTGGTGGGTCAAAATAGCCAATATTCAAAATAACACACTGTCCATTAGGCTAATATATTTGCACTCTTTATTCTATATTTATGTACTATTTAAACAAAAAGTGACTAAATTAGTAAAGTAGATAAAGTGTGATTAAGGAAAAAAGTAATATTAAATCATTAGTCTTTGTGCTTTGAAAATTTAAATAGCCATTAGCTTTTTATTTGCTCAGTTCACTGCCTGATTTTGAGACTAGAAATTGTAGTAATCAGATTCCTCTGATTACTCTATGGAGACTAGCCCAGAGTAGGGCAATAGCTGCAGTATAAAAACCAATCAGGAGGGTATGTTAGGTATCCAAGTGAGAAAGGACAGTAGCTTGGATGAAGCAATCCAGTGGGGTTGGTGAGACTTGGTACCCTTATTAGAGATCGGAAGATAGACACAGAATAGGTTTGGTGGCATATAAAGTTCAATAAACAAGCCCAGAGCAAGAGATATGTATCTAGAAGTTAACAGCATGTTCATGGGACCAAATAAAATCACCTAGGAAAGTTAGAAAGAAAAAAGTGCATCCTGGGAGCTCTCTAACATTCAGACTCTAAATGTTAGAAATTGGGCAAAGTTGGAGACATCAGAGATAGGAGGAAACCTAGGAGAGTGTGGTATCACGAAAGCAGAAGAAAGTGTTTTGAAAGAGGAAGTGGCTGACTGTCCTAAATGCTGCTGACAGAGTAACATGAGGAAGAGAATTCTGCATTGGAGGAGCAAGATAGCGGTCTTTGGAAGTGACTAAAAACTGTTTCATGAAGGAGTGCAGATACAATTCCAGTTGGTGTGGGTTAATGAGAGAATAGGAGAAAAGGAAGTGGAGCCATGTTTATATGTAGATGGCAATGGTTCAAGATGAAAGGAGATAATTGCAAGAGGTCTTTGAAGGTCCTTGAAAAGGTACTAGCCTTGGAAAAGATGAGGATGACCTTTCCCTGTAAAAGAAGAGGAAGTGGAGCACATGGGAACAAGTCACTGACCTCTTTGGGCCTCAGCTTCGGAATAGAAGGCTATTGAAGAATATTTTCTATGGGCTAACCTCCGCAATACTCCAATTGTCCCAAGCTGGTCCACATTAAACACAGTTAATCTTTCTTTAACACCAAGCTCTTAAAAAGAAGTATGAATAACTGTTGAGTGAATGGAGCAAAAAGATAAAGACAAAATTGGCAACATTTACCCCCTCCGGATGCAGTGCTTGCCATTCATTCATTTTAACTTCTAAGTGCAACACTCTCAGGATCTGGGAGTTTTTCCCCCAGTTTAAATGCACTTTTAGTGGATGCAAAACCAATAGTTCCTCCTGGGCATGATTCAACAGTGAGTTCTCCCATTTATACTTTCTCTGGGAGAATGGAAGTTGCACAGGGCAATAACCTACGTTGGACTTTTCCCCTTTCTTTGACTCCTGTAGATCCAAGGAGAAACAGCATTCAGTGGACTTTTCTTCCTAGGCTATTTTATAGCAGAAGTGGAGCGCTTATTCCTCTTTTATTTATCTCAACAACCTTATGAGAAAGATGAGGATTTTATTATAGGCCTAATTACTTTATCCTAATTGAGAAGACAAGGTTTATGAATGAACACATAATTCAGATCATGTGAGAAGTAAAACATTATTTTGATTCATGGTATCTTTTGAGGCAGAATAATTTACTTACTTCTGTTGACACAAGAAGGCTTGGCTCCTACTTTTTCCAAGGTAGGAAAAAGAAATCTGCTGATACATTTTTTATCTTTTTATACCAACCTCTAAGGTTAGAAAATTACAAATGGAAGTTTGAAAAATAGCCACTACAAAAGATTACATTACCTACCTGTCTACCTTATAGGACCATATGTGATCAAATAACAAACTCTGTATTAAAAAACTATGAAACGATAAAATGTTATCTCAAGTGTAAGAAAAAACAATAGAATCTAAATAGGTAAAATTAAAGTACATCAGTCAATAAAGGGGCTTTGAGAGCAGAGGCAGTAAAGTACAAATATGACCATCTTTTCTTATAAATTTATTAATTTTAAATTGAAAAACAATTGCATATATTTATGGGGTACAATGTGATGTTTTCATCTATGTATACACTGCAGAAAAATTAAGTTAATTAACATATCCATCACCTCACCATGGTGACCACAGTTAGTAATGTTGTACTGCATATTTCAAAATTGCTAATAGAATAGATTTTTAAAGTTCTTACCATATATACAATAACCTTTATAGTTGAGGATTGGGGATCCAAGCAACATTGGAAGTCACAGCATAAAAGAATTTATTTGTATATCCCAGGGGCAATGAGAGTGCACAAAAGAAGTGTAGTTCTTGAAGTCAGTGCTGCTCAAACTTTCATTTGCACATGAATCACCTGAGAATCTTGAGAAAACGCAGGTTCTGATTCAGTAAGTCTGGGGCTGGGGACTTGAGATTCTGCATTTCTAATTCCCAGGTGCTACCCATGCTGCTGGCCCATAGACCACATTTTGAGTAGCAAGGCTCAATTATATGGACCGACTAAGGAAAGGGCCAGCTGTCACAAAAAGAAGAGGATTGAGTAAAATAGTCAAGAGTGTCATGAAGGCCAGATGGTGAAGGTGTTTATTAGACAGAGAGATTTGAATAAGACTCATGTACATCAGAGTCATAACTGAGATGAAAGTATGGAAAAGAAATAAGACAAATGAGGTGAACTAGGGCAACAAGGCATCGATAGCTGCATGATGTTCTTCTAGGGGATTCTTTTACAACTCCAAAAAGACAGAACCCCTTGAGGAGAGAGAAATCAGCCACTTGAAAGAAAGATCTAAAGAGCCTTCAGTCAGCGATTATCCTCTTCCAACCAAATATTTAGGTGTTTCTAGATTTTTAATGAATTACATATTTCTCAAGGATAGACTGTCATGAAAGACTTATACTAACTTAGCACTTAATACTCAGACTATGACTTACCAAAGTCCTCTTCCTCACTAGTAGAGTCTGGTGATTCTTCTAGGAAAAAGAACAAAAGGCAAACAAATATTTGTAGGGATTGATGATTCAGAAGCTCTAAACTATCTCTCTCTATCCTAAAAATCCAAGTCATTAGACTTTAACACACAGAGTAACTAACTAACTAACTAACTAACTAACTAACTAACTAACTAACTAACTTACTTTAACAACAGTCCAAGGTCAGTTGGGCTGCATGAACTAATACTTAACTCCCAAAGCCACTGATAATGAGCATTAAATCCTGAGAAATTACAAAAAAAAAAAAATATTGCATGAAGGTACTAGAGGTAAGAAGTTTGGGGTGGGGAAATACAGCCATTGACTCTTCCACTTTTATCCATGCCTTATAGGGTGTAGGTGATCTGAACAGACTTGAAAAATTCATCACCAAGAAATGAGGCATTTTGTTTATTTCCACTTCTGTTACTGCTTAAACCTCAGAAGACACATTAGTCATAAGAAACTTATTATGCATTAAATACCTTTAATTACATACAGAATAGCCAGCGGAGACTGGGGAAAAGAGATGTAATTCGAATTCAGCAGCCCATTTTAATCACATCACATGTGGTCTTTAGTTTTAACAGAAGCTCCCACATGATAGCTATAAATACAGCCTATTCAATTTCAAAGGTACAAATTACGGTTATTTTGAGGATGGGAGAGGTGGCGTGCTCCATAATGAATAATGAAAGCATTCCAATTCTTCAAGTTTCACATATATTAAAAAAAATTAATGCTTTCTGTGAACACCCCATTCTCTGGTGCTTTATCAGACTTACCAACTCATTAATTAAAGCCAGTGAAAATTCTCACTATAGATCTGATGGACAGAAATTACAACAGGTGGTCTCAGCATTGATGTTTCTCATCAATCTGACTAATAGTATCAAATCATGGAGAGTCATAACAGGGATAAAGATTCCAGGGAAAGCGACCATTTGTAAACTGTGCTCACCTGGGAAAGATTATAATAATGATAATTAAAATAGGAACCAGTTTTTGAATACTTACTATGTACCAGGTGCCATGTTTCATTTACATTCTCTCATTTAATATTCACAACAACCCTTACAATAGTTACAATAATCAGTTGTCTTCTAAAAATGAAGAGCTGAGATTCCCGGGAGCAATGTGAACCTTAGGGTCTAAGCTTTGCTGAGAGTTACACTGCTAGTAAGTGGGGAATCTGGAATTCAAACTTAGGTCTGTGTATCTCCAGAGTCTATGTGTAACCAATACAACTACTAGCCTCTAGTAGTATCAGATGTATCACAAATATAAAGATTATTCATAAAGTTTTCAGCACCCCCCTCCTGCAAATCTTAAAAACCAGTAACACTAGCCCACAGTCATTAGGACCATATAAATTATTAGGAACACATAGGTTTCTGACATACCAATTGAAAATCCAAAGAAAGTGACCGGAATATCATTAAAATGACCATCTCTTACTGGTTTTATTATAGTAGCATGTATGTGCAAGTCTTGGTGCCTGAGAAGCAGAATAAAATGTCCAGATCCAATACTAACTGCTTTATTTCTGTTCCTGGGCCATAAATGACTAGGCTTGCCATGAGAGAAGAGAAGGGAACTGGGTAATTTCTATAATGGAAGTGCTTCACAGACATAGTTAAATCTTCACAACGACTATATGCTGTAAGTGTTACATACCCCATTTTATAGATGAGAAAAGTGAAACCCAGGGTATTGAAAGCACTCAACCAAGGTTGTACAGTGTCATTGATTAAAAAACAAAATAAAACTAAGCAAACAAAGCAAGACTTAGTGCTGATCTCTTATCTTCTAGGCTAAATGCCATATGATACAGTTTTGACTTTTTCTTCCCAGATTTTACATAATGAATTAAAAAAAAATCAAAGTTCATTTTTGGTGTAATCAATTTACAAGATGGCTAAGCCAGTTTTCTGTATAAACTAATGTCTTTCTCAAAAGCTGTTTGTGAGAACATTCATATCTTATGCAGATTGCCTTATGGTGTGTACAGACACCAAAGTCAAGTTATTTGGACCCTTACAACAGCTGGAAAGACTGGAATCTCCAGTTAGAGTAGCTCCCACATGCACACCCTGCCTACGTATATCTAATGCAAGACTTACAAAGTTTCAGACAGGAAGCTGGTAGAGTCCCACTTTCTAGTCTTATTGCTGTGTCTTTTACCACACTTTGTTCCCTTTTGTCTTTCTTATTTGGAAGGTCTGATTAGGGGAACGAGGATTGTTAGGAGACAGAGGTAGAGGAGGGAGTACCAATGAGTAGAACTAGCTTGGAAACGGGAATGAGAGTCATGTTCCTACTGTGCCAGACTGCGATCTCATAAACAATAACCAGGACTCTAGTCCCTTACTCAAGGGCAGTATCACTAATGGTGGGTCAACCAGATATCATGTTTCTCCCGATGGAATGCAATGGAGATTATATGGTATATTTAGGATGTATTCTGGTTCAAAATGTTTAACAGAAGCTACCAATCATTTAGATTTAACCTAACATAGTTTATAGGAAATACAGAAGATAAAGAAACAAGCTACATAACATCCCTGGAGAGGAAAAAACAAATCCAGACAGTGAGATATTGTACAGCACAACTGGCAAGACAACAGGTCAATGTGAGGGGAAAAAGGGACTGTGCTAATTAGAAGAGACTTAAGGGACATAACCTCCAGATGTAGGGTCTAGCCCTGGATTAGGTCCTGATTTGGAGAGAATGCTGCAAAGACATTTTGAGGGGACAATTGGGGAAATCTGAATTAAAAAATGAATATTAGAGAAAATTAACATTTGTTTAACTGGAAATGTGGAAATTGTTCATGGAAAAAAGCAGGTAGCAAAAAGCATGTAAAGCAGAATCTCATTCTTGTAAAAACAACTCTACATCTAGAAGGAAATACGATAAAGGTTATATCTATGGGTGATTAGAATATGCTGCTTTACTTCTATTTATTTCTCAACATTCTGTAATGTGCATAAAACTGCTTCTATAGTAATAAAAATTACTTTAATTAAAAAAGAATTAGGTATTGAAATGGAAGTGCCTGGTCTTTCCCACAGAGCCCGTTTTTTAGTACTCAGAATACATCACTAGTAGGTAGAATATTTGATGCGTTTCTCAGGATAGCCTTAACTTCTGTCCATCCCTGGGTTTCAGGTGCCAGGGATAAGCCTCTGTACTCTTTTAACCTTTGGAATGCTCTAGCATTCCTGTGACTGTCAGCTGCTTGCCCTCACCCACTGTGCTGGGCCCAGCAGTGTGAGAATCTAGGATTCTGCCTTAGTTGCTTTGCCCAGGGCTCCATTCCCCTTTCCTGGGCCCATGTGCTTGGCTTTGGCTCTGAGCTCCAACTTCACTTCTGCCAGTCCCAAAAACTGAATCCTGCTCTTAGAACTCCAATTCCCTGGCTTAAATATGCCTGTAAATAGAGAGAATGCCCAGAGCCATGATGCTGCCATTTATCTGAATTTCCAGCATCTCTTTGTGGCAGGAACTGCCACTGCTATGCTCTGCCTGCCAAATTGGACCTTCTTTGATTGCTGCTGCCTACCCAAACTGTGCCTGATCTTGACATGCCTATATTATATTGCAGTGCACCAGGCAGTTGCCTCTGTAGGGTCAGCTTCTGCAGCTGGCTTTATTTCCCATTCTGTCCTGACTTTCACCCTCACCCTGCTCACTGTCTTTACTATACAGACATGCAGTCTGGAAGCCCAAGGCAAATCTGATGCTAAGCCTACATCATCTAAGAAAGAAGTCGGTTTTAAAATCCTTACCTAGGGCAAGAACTCAAATCATGGCATGGGCATGAGGCTCATTATTTTCTTCCTTTTTAAATGTATTCATTCATTTAGCAAACATTTATTGACCTGTTACTAGGTTTCAAATGGGAATTGGGACTACATAGGTTAACAAGGGAATCCCAGTCCTCATGGAGTTGTAATGCATCAGGATGACAGATCTAAACAAATAAACACATCAATAATTATTTACTTGCAAATGTGCTAGAAGAAGTACAAGGTATAAGCACAGCATTTAATATGGAATTTAAAGGATGAGTAAGAGCTTGCTATGAAGTTTGGCAGCCTCGGCAAAGGGCAAGCATGGGCAGAGAGCCTGTGATAAGAAGGAGCTTGGCAGGCACAAGGCCAGCGTGCGTGGAGGACACTGGGCGAGGGGCCCAGTGGTGTGGCCTGGGGCTGGAGAAGCGAGATGGGGAGGTGAATGGACATATCCGGCTACCATGCAGAAGGGCCCAACTGCTCCCCACTGAGATGCCATTGTAAAAATATACACCTTGAGCACTGAAGTCTGAGATGTAGGACCCAAGGCTGCCAAGTATCACTCATAACCTTTTATGTTCTGCAAAAAAAGAATTGCTGCTGAGTCCAAAAAGGTAACAGTATTCAGGGCATCATAGTACCAGAAACAAAACAAAACTCATTACCCTATTCATCAGTAACCTTTCTTGCAGTTCTAGTAGATACAATTTAAAGAAAAATGTAATGGAGTTAGAGAAGGCCTAGAGACTGGCAACAGAGAAAGGGCCAGGAAACATGGCCCATACATGAAACCCTTCACCCAGAGAGAAAAAAGATGATAGCAAAGATGACCAAAGTCTACAAAATCATAGAGCTACAGAATGATTACAGGGAAAAGAATTGAATGCCACATTTTAGCAATTAGAAATAGTATGTGTAAATAGTAAATGTATCCTTTATAAAATATAAAGGATTAGAAAACTCATAGCTTGAAAAAATACATTTCAGACAAATGAGATAAATTCTGCTTTCTGCACAGCCACAGGACTGGCACAGGACTGCCTCTCATTCCCTGTAGGACTCTGGGCAAGTCACCTGTAAAATCGGATGGAGCTTTATCACAGGTTGCCGTAAGGAGTAAATAAGCATGACATTTGAAATGATTGCCACAATATCTGTCACTTAATAGGTACTTGGTGAATATTAATGCCTTTCCTTACAGA